AACATGGTAGCATATTTCAAATCCTTTAAAACCTAATAAAATAAATTAAATGCACTGGGTTCCACACAATCGATTTATGTTGGGGTAACATGAAGGAATTAGGTTAACTCGTTGGTTTTTACAAATTTAAGTTGATTGAACATGAAACAATTAAGTTGTCCCAAAAAAAAACTGAAGAATTGTGTAGTGTCAGCTCAATTGAAATAATTGGTTGAATACTATTTGACATGTATTGCCCTAATGAAAGCAGCAGCATATACTGTACATTCACTGGCCACTTTATTAGGAACACCTTTCTAGTACCAGGTTGGACCCCCTTTTGCATTCAGAACTGCCTTAATCCTTTCTTAGTGCAAACCAATAAATATTAGTCACTTAGAATGTACTTGTAATAATGTTAAAGAGCTTTAATGTGTATTAATTAGATTGTAAATTGTACCATTTGTTGGAGTGCAGATCACTATTCTGTGTTTCTGAATAGTTCTGGAATTTAAATGTTTCAGTCGTGTCGCATCGTGTGTAGTAGGGACACGGTGTTACAATGTAAACATTAATAATATTTATATTATTCGCTTATTAAAAATCACCTCATGAGGATTTTTTTAACTTTAAATCTGCGTCTGCGTAAACTGGCAGTAGGCTGGTTATCGAGGCCAAAACAAAGACAGACATTCCAGAACATAACGCACATTTTTAAAGAGGCGTGTGGGGGCCTCTTAAGGCCGTAGTGTGGCCTTCTCTGTATGCAAGAAGGTAAGCCCACTGGATGACTCTGGTCTACAAGGCTCTTCTGGGACTGGTGCCTTCATACCTACGTTCCCTTCTCCATAAGTCTAAAAGCCAGTATGAACTACGCTTAAGTGAATCTTATCATTTGACTGTTCCCCGGGTTCCAACTGAAATAGGGAAGTGAGTCTTTAGTCATGCCGCCCCCTCATCCTGGAATACTCTTCAGCCTGAACTAAAGATATCTGAGCTCATCCCAATGACATCGTTTCGCTCTTTTTTTTTTTTTTAACAAACAACAACAGTCCATTTCTCAATGCATGTGTTTTTAATATATTGAAATGTGGTAAAACTGGAAAACTGAACTGTATTTTTATATTATATCAATTTTATATTTATTACTAATATTATTACATTTTTATTTATTTATTTTTTTTTTTTTTATATAAATCATGTGTTGCAGACCACTTGGCCAGGTCACCCTTGTAAATGAGATCTTGATCTTGATGGGTTTTTATCTGGTTAAATAAAGAAACATAATAAAAAGCAGAAAAGCTGACTTTAGCATTGTTTTTCAAATAAACAAGTATGTTTACATGTTTCTTAAAGTCTGCATGAACCGTATTTTTGTAGAAAATAATCATTTATTTATCATTTTAATTCTTTATTTTTTACATTTTTAAAGTTATTTGTGTATTGCTCATCTCTCTGTGTGTAATAAGCAATGTTTGCGCGTTTTGGACGTGCATATGCGCACAACTAACGCACTCTTTAAATTACAAAAACTCTGCGCTTGACTTTAGAGCAGCATTTAGTTGATCAATGTTTGGTCTATTTACTCAACAAACCTCATTTTCAGACCAGCGCAAATATATTTGCTATTTAAACGACGTGGCGCAAAACGTGAAAATGATAGCTGCGCCGGTCTGAAAATAGCAAAAAAAATCACATCCGCCGTGCCGGGCCCATAGTCTTTCTATTGTTTGTTCTTGCTTTCCCCTAAATCTCTCACAGGAAATCCTCCTGTTTGCCTGCTCGCCGTTGAATCCTCAAAGGGAGCGTATAGGTTAATACTGAAGAGACACCGGCCTGCAGCGACGTCTGATTAACTTAACGAGAGTCGAGAAATGAAAAGTGTCACGGCAGTTCTTCTCCTCTACTAAATTGTCTCCCTGTATTTCGCACAGGCCCTAAAGGACACGCTGGAGCCGGAGCTGAATGAAGCAGTGATTTATCTCTGAAAACATTGCTTTCTGTAAGCTGATAGCGGTAGACACGGTACCCTTGGGTGCCGGCGCATAAATAGGCAGGGAGAGGATAACGGCGCGGAGAATATCACAGTCACTGCTATTTAAGTGTGTGATAGAGAAACTCCAAATGTGAGAAAATGACACTGTTAAAATGTAGCAATGCTTCTTCGCATGGCTGATTATGTTTCTGCTGCAGTGAAAGAAGTCAAATGTTTTTTTTTTTTGTTTTTTTTTGCAGCACTTTATTTTTCCTTTACAGCCTAAAAGGATGTTATATAATGTTTTATGTTGTGATGAACTTCTACATGGTGATCATTTACCCTCTTTCTAACCCTTATGGTTGGTTCATCAGGCTGTTGTGCCTTCAGGGCTTCATATATACAGTGCTCAGCATAAATGAGTACACTGTTAAAAATGATTAGTCGACTTTCTTAAAATAAGTGAGTAAACCTGCTGCTTTTAAAATGATTAGTTGACTTTACAGGGCTCGAAATTGCGACCATTTCGGTCGCATATGCGCCCGAAAATTAATCGATGCGACCTCATAATATATTATTTATAGTGCGCATTAGTGCGACCTGTTTTGATTTTTTCTAAATACGTGCTGAATCGCTCTTCCCTGCAGCTATATTGGTTCATATTAGCTGTCATTCACTCAAGGCTTTCCGCTGTTACAGGGAGGGAGCTTTTATGTCCACGGGAAATGCAAACGGCTAAAGAGTGAAAACTTAAAGCACACAGGTTTGCAAAGTGCAAACCCCACCTAAAGTTGAGGCGCAGATGAGAGCGATCATGACACGTGGTGAATATTGATCCGCCAGCTGAGATCAATCGAGTACGTACTTTTCGGAGAAGGTGCCCGAATCTCGAGTGTTTAGCGCAAATGTCCGCTAAAAGTCAAATCTAATACTGTACATATCATCACCAAAGAAGCTCGCCTTTACTAAGTTTACACTGAAACCTGCCTGCTTTTCCACAAACACAGAAAAATGAAAATCAGCTCAGACGGAACTTTTAAATTGACATAAACTAAAACAAAAACTTTTAAAGAGTGATAGAAGTGAGACTTTACTTACTTTGTTTTGCCTACTATTTCTTGAGGTGTATTTTATTTTTTTTATTTGATTACTGATGACTGTTTTGCAGCTTTCAGCCTTGAATTTAATAATCTTTTGTTTGTTTTTTAGCAGAAATATTATTTATTAAACTGACATGCATATATATGCTGTTTAGCTGTACAAAATAAATATTTCTTACTGCAATGCTTCATTTTTGTTTGATGCAAACTATACATTTATTTTTCAGAAAGTACCTTTTTATAGCAGATAACTTACATTAAAGCACATTCAAGGCAGCATGATGATGAGAAATGTAATTTATTGTTACTATTATTGTCATTTTCATCATCATTAATATTCTATAATTATTAGACATACACATTTTGCAATTATTGCACACAAATATCAATGTCATCTCAGCATTAGTTAGTTCTTTCTGGTTTTTGTTAGTCCTAATTGATGTTGTTTTAAAATACAATAAGTCCCTTGAAATACAATTTGCAGCATTGCTCATTCATTTTTGGTGGGTGCTCCTAAATTTTTTCTGGTGCTCCTAAATTTTTGAAGTTGGGAGCACCGGTGCTACCAAGTAAAAAAGTTCATTTCGAGCACTGCTTTACTTTAAAAAGTAGTTAACCCGTGGCCTTAAAAGTTTTAAGTAAATGAACTACTGTATGTGCACAATTGTAACGTCATAAATGTCACGGTGGCGCAGTGGGTAGCACAATCGCCTCACAGCAAAAAGGTCGCTGGTTCGAGAACCAGCTGGGCATTTCTGTGTGGAGTTTGCATGTTCTCCCCGTGTTTCCTCCGGGTGCTCCGGTTTCCGGTTAAATAACCTGATGGGTGTTTTGAGCTGAAACTTTGCAGACACATTCTGGAGACACAAAAGGCTTATCTTAAATCTTGAAAAGGGGGTAAAATGGGTTGTCAAATAGTATGGGTTATTCATGTTTATACAACAGCTCTGTCTGGTTCTTTAATCTGATTGGCTGATAGTCGTGAGAAATTCTGCAATAACAGCACTCTTCCAGCCTCTTCACACTTGTGTATTACTCCGCCCACATACAGCAAAAAGCAGAGGATAATAAATATTTAAAAACAAGAAAAAAAATTATAAAATTTTTCTGTGATCAATCTTAGAGTAAAATGTTTGTTTGTTTTCCAGAATCAGGTCAAAATTATGATTCAGAATTATATTGATATTTTGCAAACTTTTAAATGTTTCAGGAAACAAAATCTAAATAAATAAACGAACGTACAGTAATTGTTTATTATTGTGAAAATACAAATCATATTTCTTCTGTGTCCAAATTAGGGAAAACACAAGCCTTGTTTTTTAAAATAGATTTTTACCGTATTTTACTTATTTAAAAATAGGTTTTACATTTTTTTCAATAAGTATAATACGATAAAAATAAGGTTATATTAATTGATGTATTAACCAACATGAACATCACATTTATTGCAGTATTTATTCATCGTTGTTTACGTTAATGAAAATAAAGTGGTTTGTTTATTCATTCCTTTTCTTCACTGCTTAGTCCTTTTATTAATCTGGAGTCACCACAGCGGAATGAACCGCCAACTTAGCCAGCATATCAGCAGATGCCCTTCCAGCTGCAACCCATCACTGGGAAACACCCATACACACTCAATCCCACACATACACTACGGCCAATTTAGCTTACCCAATTCACCCACACCTCATGTTAATACGCCTGTCAAAAAAAAAATTCGGTGGACGGAAAAAACCGTACTCCCACGTCAGGTTGCGGGGGGTCAGTTCCTCCGGGAACTTGCAGACACATTTGTCTTACATATTTGCAGCCTTAAGATTTTGTGACGGCTTTTCTCAAAACGTATGGCACTATTTGCTTCAATTCTTGTGTTTTACTGTGAAAAGACGGTTCAGTTTTGAACGACTGAACTTGTGTTCATGTGTAGAGATGCCTCTGTAACTGACCTGTTAACCACACCAATAATGCCCAGTCTGACTGGTATGACCCGTCCCAGCAGCACCTCCAGAGCATCTGTCCCCGCGTCCATCAGATCCAGCTTACTCACAACCAGAAGCGTCCTGCGACCTGAGAACACACACCAGGGCTTCTTCATGATCTGTCAGGAGGACGTGTCCATCTCTTACCTGCCGCTCGCTCAAATTTGAGCACATAATCCAGGTAAACTTGACTCTTTTATTATCGAATAATTCACTCAGACTCATCATTATGGTAATTTTAGTTTATGTAACACAACTGATCGTACTTTTTTAATATTAACAATGTATAAAGTAACATAAACGAATGTAAATAACCCATAATATGTTTAATATTACAAGTATACTTTTCGAATTCAAAAGTTGTTCACTAAAGCTTCATTATATAGGTAATATTACAAATAGTATGGGTCATTCATGTTTATACAACAGCTCTGTCTGGTTCTTTAATCTGATTGGCTGATAGTCGTGAGAATTTCTGCAATAACAGCACTCTTACAGCCTCTTCACACTTGTGTATTACTCCGCCCACATACAGCAACAAGCAGAGGATACTCTACAGTTTGACAAATATTGCAGCTGTTGGACAACATAATGTACTTTTGAGGCTTTCTTAGTCGATAATCTAGCTGTTTAGATTGCAACTGTGCAGTTTATTTATAAGGATAGTGCCTATTTTAAAATATTTATAATTTCGGAGATTCAGTGCATCAGCCTGTCTGAGCAGACCGAAGAAAGTGACGGTTGACATTCCGCCACAAGATGGCAACAGAGACCACATAATAGGTCTTGGAGGGAAAAAAATCTCAACGTAAGTTTCAAACAACAGCTGAACAAATTAGGTCAGTGATAAGTCGGTCTCTCTCTTTCGTATTTTGTAGTGCTGTATTTATACCACAGAAACTGCTAGTGTTTGCTTTGCTTTGGCTTTATCCGCTTGTTAAGTGTGACGTCACGCGGAGCGGCTTCCGGGTCCAAGCGCTCTATTCAACTGAATGGGGAGATTCATGAAATGGTAATAATAAACGTTTACAAAGCGATTTAATACTTTCGAAAGTCACGATCGCAATATATATGTCCATGGCTAATATCCGATGGCCAGAAAGTGATTCATTGTTTTATAAATTGTTAAAATGTTGGTATTTGTTATGGAGCAAGCCCAGTGATTGTTGTGTACACTATGACTTTATGTAAAATTAACTTTAATGTGTGATATGAATAAAATTCGTTGATCATAAACGAATGATTTCTCAACTCTAATGAATGGGTGCTTGGACCCGGAAACAGTATTACATACGCCACAAACACGTCACCACTTAACAAGCGGATTGGGGGTAATTATTGTGATCTCCCGATTGTAACAGAGAAATACTGGGAAATCTCTGTAGATTGATGGCATTTCTTGTCAAGTTCAGCCTTATAATCTTAAAATGTGAGCAAAAATCAGCTGTTTTGTCATCACTTTAGACATTACGCTAGTGAATCATTCAAATACCAGTTCTAAAATGACATTGGTGAGGTAGCAAGAAAAGTAGTTTCTCATACAAAACGGTTTCTGAGACTCTCCGAGTTTGATTTTCTTTTTTATATACACGATTATGCCGTTGAACTGTTGTATAAACACAATATTACACTTGTAGCAGTGCGATATGGCTGTATATGATCACTGGTGGGGGGCGCTAATGCACTCAGCTTGCGCCTTCGAGTTAATGTACGCCTCACCATCACTGCTGATACACAGCCATATCGCATTGTTACTCGTGTGATATTGCTCATTCGTTAGTGTTCCTTAACTTTCAAAAATATACTTGTGGAAATCAATTCGGTTACATACTGTAAGCTAAAACTGTGATAATGATGATGAGTCAACATTTATTTAATCAAAAATACAGTAAAATACTGTATACATTAGCTTCCCACAGTGCCATTCGACAGTGTAATAATGCCATCGGGCATGCTCTCACCATCTGCGTCCACCTCTCGTGCCAGTTTTAGGGCGTCTGATGTGGCGAGGTCAGAGTTTGCAGGAGACACGCACAGGATGAGGGAGTTTGGGTTGGAGATGTAGGACAGGATCATCTCTTGGACTTGAATCTCGATGTCTTCAGGCTGGTCTCCAACAGGGACCTGTTCATGAAAAATGCTAATAAATCACTTTGAGTACGGGTCACTTAACGTTAAGTAAAACAGTGGTACGATTGTGTTGTGGGCACCACTGTAAAGTACAAATAAAATCAAAACTACCCATATTGATTTTGTTAGCTCGCATTGCTAGTTTTTTAGTGCACAATTTATCTGTGCATGTCATTAAGAAAGAAAACAATTTGCTCTGAAAATGCACTTCCTGTTTGTTTTCAGTCAAATTGTGAGGTTATGTCTGTCTGAGGTATTGGGCGTGGCTAACATACTTAACCACTCCCCTTAACCACGCCCCTTCAGCTGTCAGTTCAGACAACAAACAGAAATGGTGAGCGGGAGGAGTCGGTTAGGTTGCAATAACTCTTCCCAACTTCTTTTCCTGATCTTTCTGAATGACACGCCTACTTTACAACATCCAATAAGCTTGCAGTAGCAAAAACAAGCCACACACACTGTTTTCTCATTTAATATTTTGTTTCTCTAGGAACTGCATCACAATACAAAGAAAAAAAAGGTTGCAGCTTCTGGTTCATGCGGACTTTGAATGACTTGAACGACTTGTACACTGTAAAAGAAGTAGTGATGCCTTAAATTTTTTAGTTGAATCAAATCAAATTTCTAGTCATCTCAACTCACATCAATCAAACTGACTAAAATGATGGATAACTTTGTATAACTTAAAAAATGTAGTTCAAACCTGATTACTTATTAAAATAAGTTTAAGCAACATAAAAGCATTTGTTGTCTTGACTTTTTGTCATTACATATTTTACAGTGTATTAAGCCAGGACTTTAAAGAAGGATCGCCCTCAATTTTTAAAGTTGTGTTCTTCTACTTGTAGATATTATTTGTATATTTTAAAACTACAGATGCTGCAAATGTTCAGTTGCTCAATGTTACCAGCTGAAAATGACATTTTATTATCAGAACACATGACAGATGAGAAAAATGACTTTTTTTGCCCCCAAAACATGAACTGTTCATTTCCTAATGTTCATGAAACAGGCAGGCGAGACTTTCAAAATGTGAAATTTAAACTTAAAACGTCTCCCAAAATGACTTTGTATTGTTTAAATAATATTAATAATAAATAAAACAAAGTATTTTCAGGTTGTTTTTCTTTTTTGGTTGGGGTGTGGGGGGGTTTTAAGTGCATTCAAGATTTTTGGTTTTAGCCCAGGATTCCCTATTCAGGAAAAGTTTTTGAAAATTATTTTATACCAATTGTAATTGATTTTTTTATTTTTATTTAAAACAATTTAGAAATAATATTTATTATTTAAAATAAAATAAAATAAAATACAAATAAATAAAAATAAAACATAATAAAATAAAATAAAATAAAATAAAATAAAATAAAATAAAAATTAAATTAAATTAAATTAAATTAAATTAAATTAAATTAAATTAAATTAAATTAAATTAAATAAATTAAAATTAAATTAAAATTAAATTAAATTAAATTAAATTAAATTAAATTAAATTAAATTAAATTAAATTAAATTAAATTAAATTAAACAAAATAACTTTGCTCATCTAGGTCTTCTGTATCAAATCATGATTATTACAGATTATTTTTAGCAAACAAAAGTGTTCTTTGAGCTTTGTTTGGTTACAGCTGAACCACTGAAGTCACTGTTTGACAATGCTTTTGGTTTCGTTTCTGGAATTTAAACATCTCAGATGATACAGATTTATTAAAAAATAAATAAATCAAGAAAATGAGCAAAGGTCTCAGAGGACTGAAACCCATGAGAGTGAGTAATTGATACAGAATTAACAGAATTGACACAAAATAATCCTGGCATTGAAATAAGCTGGTCAAAAACTTTGTCAATAACATGCTAGAAAGTGGAACAGAGTCTAAACATTACTGTTATCAAACGTCTTTGCTATGTGAAAAGAAATGTATAGTTACTCAATTTTTTACTGTTTTCATTTATTTTATTTTTAACTGATCGATTCTGCTGAAAGCAGTTGTACTGAAAGCGCACTGACAGCGATTGATGAAGAACAGAGTCTAAAACTTCTGCTTTGTGCCTATGAGCTAATGAGTTTGTTTGGATCACATAATAAATGAAGAGTCATTGTGGTTACCTTGGTGATGCCAGGCAAGTCCACCAGCGTCAGGCTGAGTACATTCGGGGAATAGATCTTCAGGTAAATGGGCTCTTTACTGATGCCCTTAGGAGGAACAGAGAACAACTATGTCAGATCAATTAAAGCAGAGCCTTAAAATGAAACCTGTTTATATTGAATTATACGAAGCAAGGGTAAGTGTTGTGCTTCTACTCCACCTTATTATTGGTACTGCGATCGGTTTCCTCCTCGATCTCTTTCCGAATTTCATTAAAATCTGTGAAAATCTATGAAAAGAATAATATCAGTGCATATGTCCTTTTTCAGTCTCATTGCCAGTCAGTTTTTCATTCATTCATTCATTTATTCATTCCTTCATTCATTCATTCCTTCATTTATTCATTCATTCATGTTCTTTTCGACTTAGTCCCTTTATTAATCTGGGGTCGTGCCACAGCGGAATGAACCACCAACTATTCTACCACATGTTTTACGCAGCGGATGCCCTTCCAGCTGCAACCACGTACTGGGAAACACCCATACACTCTCACATTCACACACACAATTATACACTATGGCCAATTTCGTCTTTGGAATGTGGGGGAAACCAGAGCACCCGGAGGAAACCCACACCAACATGGGGAGAACATGCAAACTCCACACTCTCACAAATAAAGGTACAGGAGCTGTCTCTGTGGCCGTACCTTTTCAAAAGGTACAAATTTGTCTCTGAAAGGTTTATTATGGTACCTTAAAGGTACTTTTTAGGTACATTTGGGTACTAATATGCACCTTTGAGGTACCATTGTGGACTCTTTGGGTACAAATATGTATCTTTTAAAAAGGTGCAACGACTTTTTAGCTGTAAAGCGACAGTGCTAAACCAGCTCATTTTTTTATTGTTGTTAAATCTTTTTTTTTTTAGCAAAAGAAAATAAACAATAACATAAACAGAACAAACTTCAGGAAAAAAAAGGTAAAAAGACCTTTTTATAATACACAAATAGTCAGACACAACATAATACAATATCCTCCAGAAAGCATAAAAGAAAAGAAAAATTATTAACTTTATTAGGAAAAATAATAATAATAATAATTTACAGAGAAATATGTAGGCTCCACAACTTAACACATGCCAAAGCAATCCCACCTATAATGAGTTACAAGTCAGCATTACTGATATAAAACATATAGTTGAAGTCAGAATTATTAACCCCCCTGTTTATTTTTCCCACATTTTCTGTTTAACAGGTGAGCAGATTTTTTTCAACACATTTATAAACATAATAATTTAATAACTCATTTCTAATAACTGATTTTATTTATCTTTACCATGATGACAGTAAATAATATTTGACTAGATATTTTTCAATACACTTCTATACAGCTTACAGTGACATTTAAAGGCTTAACTAGGTTCATTAGGTTAACTAGGCAGGTTAGGGTAATTAGGCAAGTTATTGTATAACGATGGTTTGTTCTATAGACAGTTGGAAAAAAAATAGCTTAAAGGGGCTAATCATTTTGACAATAAAATGGTTCATGAAATATTAAAAACTGCTTTTATTCTAGCTGAAATAAAACAAATAAGACTTTCTCCAGAAGAACAAATATTATCAGACAACCTGTGAAAATTTCCTTGCTCTGTTAAACATCATTTAGGAAATATAAAAAAAAAAAAAATCAATGGGGGGCTAATAATGCTGACTTCAACTGTAATTAGGTTCCGGATTTTATGAAATATGTTTAGTTTGTTTGCCATCCCATATCGCATTTCTTCCATGGGCAGCACATAACTTAAACTTCTAATCCAGGTTTCAAAGACAGGCACGTAATCTGACTTTTGTCAAATTATTTTCTTAGCTAATATCATGCACAAAGTACTGCCTGTGATAAACAATTGAAGTCAGGAGTATTAGCCCCTTTTAAATTTCTTTTCTTTTTTAATATTTCCCAAATTATGTTAAACAGAGCAAGGAAATTTTCACAGTATGTCTGATAATATTTTTTCTTCTGGAGAAAGTCTTATTTGATTTATTTTGGCTTGAATAAAAGCAGTTTTTAATTTTTTACAAATGATTTTAAGGTCAAAATTATGAGCCCCTTTAGGCAATAGATTTTTTCGATAGTCTACAGAACAAACCATGGTTATACAGTAACTTGCCTAATAACCCTAACCTGCCTGGCTAACCTAATTAACATAGTTAATCCTTTAAATGTCACTTTAAACTAAATAGAAGTGTCTTGAAAAATATCTAGTCCAATATTATGCGTTGCCATCATGACAAAGATAAAATAAATCAGTTGTTAGAGATGAGTTATTAAAGCTATTATGTGTAGAAATGAGTTGAATAAAATCTTCTCTCCTTTAAACAGAAATAGGGGGAAAAATAAACAGGGGGGCTAATAATTCTGACTTCAACTGTATATATATCTCCTATTTCTGAGGTGTCTACAAAAATACCCAATTTTGGTTTGGTGATCAATCCTGTATACTTCAGATATAAAATTAAAAATGTTCTGCCAAAATGAACACATTTTATGGTAAGACCAGAATGAGTGAGTCAGTGTACCTTCAAAATTGTTACATTTCAAGAGTTCACACCAAGCTGATGATTGCTTGTTTGGTATGCTATCCCAGGAGAGAGCCCTGAGCTTATTAGATGCTCGAGCCCGGGGCTCCCTCCCGATTGCAATCTGGAGAACTCCCCTGCTGTAGTAGCTGATGAACAGATAGTGATTGCTCTTAAGAGATAAACACTTACTAGGAGCATGTCTATGGTGCCAATTTGGATTAGTCAATTAACTTAAGTTGGACGGTGGGAGGAAACCGGGGAACACGGGGGAAACCCACGTGAGCACTAGGAGAATGTGTAAACTCCACACAGAAACGTCGGCTGGCTTGGTAAGGACTAGAACTAGTGACGCTCTTGCTGTAAGGCAACAGTGCTAACCACTAGGCCAATGTGCCACTCATCTAAGAAAGGAGGAGGAGTAGTGGTGGAAGGGGGGATTCTTCAAAATAAAGATGGCTGTTATATGAAACTTAGGGTATTTATAGTGGCTTAAGAATCGTCTGATTGGTGAATCCTAAATTGAATAATGCGGGGCCGGCTGCAAACAATTATAAGCACGTGATCCTCTCGAAATTAAATTAAAAATAAACTTCACTTATTGCACAATAAGGAAACATTTGGGAAAATCTTATGTAATTTTACAATCAGTCTGTGTCTTGAGTTTATAGAGTAATCGTGAATTTTTAAAGATAATTTTTCCATGACTAATCTGATATCTCTGTATTTAGATTCTTCTCCCACGCTTTCATCATTTTGCCATGCTTGAATTAACCTCATCTAATAATAAGTATTAAAAATCAGACAGTACCTTTTTCTACTGGGTTGTGTTTTGTTATATTTTCAAGCGTCTGGTGAATGGTTTTATTTTTAAAACCAGGAAATTTTTTCCAAGTAAAATACTTTATATGCAAATATCTAAAAAACTCAGAGGATTGCAGATCATATTTTGATTTTAACTGACTAAATGAGCCCAATTTATTATCAACACATGAGTCTCTTATATGTCCTAATCCTTTTTCTTTCCAATGTGAAAATGTTTTGACTTGAGTTCCAAAAACCACCTGATTTTGTCATTATTTACTCAAATGATTTACATTTATATACAAATCTACTCTTTGTTTGACTACCTTTTCGGTTTTCTAAATGACACATTTTCAGGTACACAAACTCTTTTTGTATTACCTGGTTTTTGCAGTGAAGGAAAGTTCCCCATTCCTCAGCTTTGATACCTTTAGATGAGGGAGAACAGCATGAGCGCACACAGATCAATATTAATGACACTGAGCCTAACAGAAAATCCAGCAGAAACCCTCTTCCCATAAAAAGACCACAACACAATGAAGGCTTTTTACAGGCACAGTGGACTGATGCGAACAAATTGTGAAATCAATATTCCGTCTGAAAAGCATTGTGGCCGGATCCATTAGTACTGAGAGGGTGAAACCAAAACATGCAATCGCTTTAGTCTCAAAATGCAGGAAACAGTCCAAGTGCAATTTGCAGATGAAAACACAACAGGTGGGGAAAGAGTTCAGATGATGAAGAGTGACATTTACAAAGCAGAAGCGCTGTGGGATGAGAACCACACAGGGAGAGATAGAGAGAGAGTTGGAAATGATGATGAGCGTTCATGCAGGCCGACATGTGTTAGAAAACAGAGACCTGGATAGTTGTTTTGAGAGTTTTGCTTAGATCCATTTCCTGTGAAAGCGAAGAGAGGACAGCAGAATGAGTGTTAGGAAGGCTGTATTGTTATGTTTGAAAGACTGTATCACATCAACACAATAGGCTTTATGCACAGCTATCATACACCTAGAGCAGGGGTGGCCAACCCTGTTCCTGGAGAGCCACCTTCCTGCAGATTTCAGCTGCAACTCGTATCAAACACACCTGCCTGTAATTATCACGTGGGCTGTTTCTCAATATGCGTTCTTTTCTGTACTTGCGTTCTTGTGTCCTCGTGAAACGTCATCAACCGTTGCCAAAGTACTGTTCCAATTCAAAGTTCACATCTTTCCAAGTACACATGAAATTCCCGGATGTGTACTTGCTCTGCCCCTTTGGCCAAGGATGCATCGAGAGGTGACTTGTGCGAACTTGTGAAGCTCAGGTATCCCAGAATGCATTGCAGCGTGACCAGCAAGGAAAGGAAACCCGCAGGGTTTTAAAAATGCTCCTTTACTGTTTCACAAAATTAAGTTTTAAGAGTTTTTCAGGCGAGAATGTAGTTGTTTTAAACTCGAATCGGCAGTTTATTCACAAAGATAGCGCTTCTTTAACGATGTGGCTCAGCTTATGCGGACTCCGACTCCCAGCCTGCCAGCGGGAGCTCCGTCATCAGCTCCTCTGCCAGAGCAGCTTTACTTCGGCCAGGCCATCCCGGACGTACCGCTGGATCTCATCTCTTCATTGTAGTTAAAACATGATATTTAATACATCTTGTGAATATCTAACGGACAGTTTTTGGTCTTATAAATCTAATATTTGTTCTCAGGTGTATTATTTTGGCAGTGTTATTTTGTTACCTTTTGTAATTGTCTTTAATTATGTTACCGTGTTGTAACGTTACGCTGTTTGTCCTTGATTACCAAATTGCTTGACGTAATCTTTTTCTTATCGTGTATGTCTTTATTTCCTATTTTGGGTAAAATTACCATTGTAGTTTAATAAATCTGATAATCACAGACACGTGTCTGTGCATAATAACTCATTTTAATTCACATTTTTATGAATATATGAGTACATGTTCTTAAATCAAAAATGTAGATTTATAACATTAATATAATATAAATTAAATCATTTTTTTTCATATGGTGAGGTAAGTGACGTTATAACATACACTGCTGTTCCATTTGAAGAAGTACCCGACTTGTGTCCTCGCGTCCTCGGGAGTTCGTTCTTCCAAGTCTGAACTTGGCAAGTCTGAACTTCCAAGGACGCAAGTCCGAAATTTGCGTACTTGGTATTGAAAAACAGCCGTGGTGTTCAGGTCCTAATTAATTGGTTCAGGTGTGTTTGATATGGGTAGCAACTGAAATCTGCAGGAAGGTGGCTCTCCAGGAACAGGGTTGGCCACCCCTGATCTAGAGCCACTGCCCCTCTGCCTCATTGGGAGAGGTGCCGCTTCTCAGCAGCCCCCAACCAAAAACAGCTGCTCAATTGATTGTGTTTAAAAAGGAGTTAATGTAGAAGCTTTAAAAGTAATGAAAGGTGAGAAGGCTAAAGAATTATATGATTTGTTTCTTGAATATGGTTTTATTTAACCCCTTACAGAGCTTCTAATAGATGTCTGCATGGTATGTTGTTATTTATTTATTTTTATTTTGTTTTGTTTTATTAAGTTATTTTGTACATTGTTTTTTTATTTTATTTTATTTTTGTTTGGTTTTGTACTTGATTCACTGTATATCTGACATGTTTTAGTCAGTTTGTGCAAGATTATGTTTGGACTGAGTTTGGCCTAAATAGGGTATATGCCGAAGCATGCTAATGGGACTTTTAATTTGCCAGTAACCTGGGTTAAGTGCTTCCAGCGAACTGTATGCAATGGAAAAACCGGTGCGTTTAAGGTCTGTTTTCTTTCAAAATCAGCGATCTCCATTAGCTGAGTGATATCCAATATAAAGTGGGTCTCAGATTGTACAAGAAGCACTGCATTAAATGACATTTTCCCCGCCATATCTTTATAATATGAGCATTTATTTTACCCCAGTATGTTCAATGGAGCTTCTGCTCTAGCCTGCTGATTCTGACGGGCACGTGCCAGTAAACGACTTTTTGTCTCGTTTTACGCTTGAGCAACTAAATGAATGCCACAGTTTATTTAACTGAATGTTTTTAATTACGTTACAACATCGATGCTGTAAAAGGAACCGTATAAAATGGAAAAAATTTGCAAAAACAGGTCACCGGAAGTTTATCAGCATGGGAAAAACACTAGCTCGGCATATACTCCATTGTTGTTTTTAAAAGGCAAATAAAAATAATAATATTAATTAAAAAAAAAAGCTTTTTCCTAATTAATGCAAAAATGTCAAATAAAATAAAATCAATCACTCTTGATCTACAGAGAGGAACTCTTCTCCTCTTGATCAGCATTGTTTCTTCTGGGTTGTGCAGTTTAATTCACAGAATTTCTACAAAGTGTGTTGTACACTGTAAAATTGCCGACTTTTTTGGTCACATCAATAACGCATGTTTATTTTTCTCATTTAAAATATTTGAAATATTTTTACAGACTGATTTTTTTCTGACCCCGTAACTCTGTGGCTAGTAGTTTTTTTTTTTTTTAAATATAAACTGATGTGTCAATATAATGTTCTGTGTATGCAAATCTCTGAAGTTTTTACAGCAAATGTCACATCCATAAAGCTGGAATTGCACATCCATAAAGCTTGAATTGCACTTATTTTTGTTTGTCAAGTCTAAAACTAATAATAAGAATTTAATTTTTTTAGAGTTGTTACCATTGTCTTGTTTCCGTCTCTCCTCCAGAGGTGGCACGTTCACCAGCTGTAACACTAGAGGGCGACGCGTCACTATTCCTGAACCTCGAGGCAGAAAATCCCGTCCGACCAAACTCTCCAACACTGAGCTCTTCCCACTACTCTGAAGATTCAGAAACAGAGCACATTACAGATCGGATAGGGAGAAAAGTTTTCAGGTGTGATTCCCAGCGCTGTTCCTGGAGGATAAGGGATGTCTCCCTTATCTGAGCCATTAACTTCAGGCTTTAAAGTCTTTTCTTAGGTACTGTTGAGTTGATTCAGGTGTGTTTGATTATGGAGAGGTTGAAAATTTAGAATGTGTACTGTTGGTGTGCCTTCAGGAACAGGGTTGGGAAACACTGCACTATTTCACGGCTCACCTGTGACCCCACGACTACGATCTGAGGAAGCTGGATGATCTCAGCTCCAACTGTGAGGAAGACCTCCTGCAGTCGGTTAATGATGGGAATCAGAGTTTCCATCTCTGCAAGAGAAAGAAAATATCTGTGTCAAGCTGACATACAGTTGAAGGGTTCGAGGAATCATGAGCAAGTAATTTTTCACATTATTTCCCATAATATTTTTTCTTCTGGAGAAAGTCTTGCTTGTTTTATTTCAGCTAGAATAAAAGCAGTTTTTAATTCTTTTAAAACCATTTTAAGGTCAATATTATTAGCCCTCTTAAGCAATATTTAGTTTTGATTGTCTGCAGAACGGGGCGACGCAGTGGCGCAGTAGGTAGTGCTGTCGCCTCATAGCAAGAAGGTCGCTGGTTCGAGCCTCGGCTGGGTCAGTTGGCGTTTCTGTGTGGAGTTTGCATGTTCTCCCTGGATTCGCGTGGGTTTCCTACAGATGCTCCAGTCTCCCCCACAGTCGAAAGACATGTGGTACAGGTGAATTGGGAAGGCTAAATTGTCTGTAGTGAATGAGTGTGTATGGATTTTTCCCAGAGATGGGTTGCAGCTGGAAGGGCATCCACTGCGTAAAACATGTGCTGAATAAGTTGGCGGTTCATTCCACTGTGATTAAGCCGAAAAGAAAATGAATGAATGAATTTCTTTTCAAAACCCGGGGCCTCATAAATAGTGGAAATTTACTTGTTTTAATTTTAATTTAATTTTACATTAATAAGATAAAGGTTCCATTTTTTAGCATGCAGTTTATTTACAAAAACAAACAAAAAAACTAACTAAATGAATCTACAGAAAAAAAATATCTATAGGAAAAGAAAGTGTTTTTAGTTTCAATGCAAGTGACCCATACCCAGGGCCAGACCGAATCTGCGGAAGTTTTTTGCTATTTCTGCAGAGAATTTTGGTAAAAATCTGTGGATATCTGCGGAATTATTTTGGGAGTATAATAACTAAAATCTTAATATGTAAAATAGAAGGTAATACCTTTTAAACTTTTATTTAATGTTTAAATTGCAAATCCAGTTAGATGCACTTTATTTGGTAAACAAAGCAAGTCTCTCAAATAATTTATCTAGTAAAAGACAGAAAATATTACTATACAAACTGCATTGAGCATAAATCAGATGAACATTTTCATATTGGTCAATAATAGTACTGTAATTAATAAAAAAAACTAAATAAATATAGATTTACACACAGAAATCTGCGGAATTCTTTGGAAAATCTGCGGAATTCTGCGCGCGCAGATTCCGTGTGGGCCTACCCAAACCTAAAATTGCTTAGGGCCCCCAAATCACTGAGTCCGATCCCTGATTACAAACAATTTACTGTAAACATGCTGCATTCTGTTATTTTATAGTGAAAAAATGCTCTGAATAACATTATTTTTATTTTAAAATGGAAGGAAATGCCATTAGTAGTATGCAGAATAAACAGTTTACTCAAACACGTAACAATAAATCGCAAATTCAGAGAAATTAAACATTTTCGAGCGTTATTATTGTTATTTTCCATGCTAGCTGTCTCCTCACATGTGTACATGTAATGTTAGCCTATGCAAGACTGAGCAGATGCCCCAAATGGGTTATATGTGCAATGAAATGGCTATAATTTGATAATTAATTCCCTAATATTATTAATTAGCATTTATATTTAATATTACACGACAGACATCATCCCTGTAGGATGTGATGCTGACAGAAGAACAAGGTGACATGACAAGAGAAGCGGTAATAACATTAGCAAAGCCTGTTTCACAAAATAATATCCTTACCGTATCGCGACGTATCGAGCCTTCAGAAATATTACACAATCACTGCGTTAAAGCGCTCGCTGTCATGCTGCAAATGTGGAAAATACAACCTACAATCACAGGAAGACCGACAATATTGAGGTTTCGCTTCTCTGTATGCTGTCAAAGATGAGTCGGGCGTCAGCTACAGGAAATTCGATTGGCTAATAGAATGCTGACGTTCACGTATACGCTTAGCTCATTGGACGAAACACCCATCAATCACAAATATGTCACGGCAGCTTCTCCACGCCCCTTTCCAACATCAGGACCCCAATTTCATCCGTGGGGTTATTCGGCACGGTAAGGATTTTCTCTTATGGAATTACATGAAACATTATAGTTTAAAGAAAGTTTCGAGCCTAATTAGGACATTTGTGTAAAATTATATTACATAGGAAAAACAGATATGAGATAAGGAAGTAGATCGTTATACGTGACGCTTTGAGGAAGTGTGAATGAGTCAGGGGTTAAAAGAACAGAAAAATGTGAAAATCACATGACAGAGGCGATAATATCCTCAGGCAAATAAAAAAAAAATAAAATAAAAAAATCGACTGTTCTGGACTGAAAAAATGCTGCACACAGATCCTTCCGAAAATCGATTACATTAACATAATCCATTGAACATAAAACAAACACAGAATTGTGTTGTTTCAACTTATTTTAAATAAGTAGTTTGAACAAGAAGCAAAAGTCATTATTGAGTGTCTTTCCCCTACTAATTTGATCATATTCGCGTGTTTAAATTGAACATTTTATAACTTCATTAAATTTACTACGTTAATAATTTAATCCACTTTATAAAATTTTGGATTAAAACGAATTATGGATGTACGTTTTATGAATGTATCAATATCTCTGCAAGAGAAATAAAAAAATATCTGTACTAGTAAAAAAAATGATTCAAATATGATTTCTTGGGTTTACTTAAGTTAGGTAATTGTAAACAATTTATTTGGGCTGAATTTATTTATTCATTCATTCATTTTCTTTTCTGCTTAGTCCCTTTATTAATCTGGGGTCACTATAGCGAAATGAACTGCCAACTTATCCAGCACATGTTTTACGCAGCGGATGCCCTTCCAGCTGCAACTCATCACTGGGAAACATCCATACACACTCATTTACAAAAATCAATTTTAGCATACATGACTTCTGACTTGTACACTGAAAAAATTATTCAAAGATGATTCCTTGGATTTACTCAATTTTTTTTACATTAAGTGGTTGTAAACAATTTATTTGTGTTAAATTTAAACAAACAAATTAAGTTGAACATTATTAAATTAAATTTGTTTGTTTAAATTCAACACAAATAAATTGTTTGCAACAGTTCTGCATGCAACACTTTTTTCATATCATAATTTTATTTGATTTATTTTATGAATATTATAATGAAAACCGGCAACCCCATGCAAACACAGGAAGAATATGCAAACTCCACATAAAAACACTAACTGACCCAGCCGAGGCTCGAACCAGCGACCTTCTTGCTGTGAGGCGAATGTGCTACCGACTGCGTTACCGCGACACACTGGGCTGAATTTAAACAAACAAATTAAGTTGAACATTACTACTTTTAATTAGTTTTTTTTTTTAATTCAACACAACTAAACTGCAGACATCATTTTTTGTGTGTGTATTTATTAAGAGAAAAATAAATGCTAATAAAGTTGAATAATCACATGACAGAGGGAATGGACGAAGACCGGAGGTAAAAAAAAAATATCTGTGCTGCACTGTAAAAATGCTGCAAGCAATTCCTTAATGTTGTCACAAAACAAATCGATTACGTTAACTTAATAAATTTTAGAAATGTAAGTAGATTGAACATAAAACAATTAAGTTATCCCCCCCAAAAAACACTTCTATTAAAGCAATTGTGTTGTTTCATCTCATTTTAAATAATTCGATTGAACAAGCAGCAAAAGTAATTTTTGAGTGTGTCTTTCCCCTTTAAATTTGATCATATACACATTCGCACGTTTAAATTGAATGTTTTGTAACTTCATTAAATTGGCCACCTTATTAATTTAATCCACTTTATAAAATTTAGGATTATAACGAATTATGGATGGACATTTTATAAATGTATCAGAATATCTCTGCAAGAGAAATAAAAAAAATATATATCTGTACTAGTGAAAAAAATGATTCAAAGATAAAGGTAAGTGGTTGTAAATAATTTATTTGAGCTGAATTTAAACAAACAAATTAAATTGAACATTACTAAATTTAATTTGTTAGCTTAAATTTAACACAAATAAATTGTCAGAAGAGAAAACAAATTTAAAAAGTTAAATACAAGCAATTCCTTCATGTTGTACAAAACAAATTGGGGGGGGGATTGATTCCCCTAATTAACAATTGATCCCCCCTAAAGTACATCAAAACAAGATGTATAGGGGGCAGCCCTTTGATAGTATGAAATAGCTTTCTTCAATATTAGCTTTCTTAAAAAATAATAATTAAAATTGTATAATATAAACATACATTTGATTTATGAAGAGAAAACAAATACATAAAAAATGGTAATAATGTACAAACTAAGTTAAGTTGTCCTAAAGTGGTTTGATCCATTTTTCCTTCTCGCCATCTTGGAGTCGTTCGAGAACGAGGAAGCAGGGGCTTTTCCTTGCAATGTAAAGTCCGAATCATTTGAACGAATCGGCTCGTTCGAACATTCCAAACAGTTCGCTTGAAACAACTAATTTCGTAGTAAAATACATTTAAGCGCACACATTGTTTATAATATCTACATTTGTGTTGTTAAACGTATTTACAGCGTTGCCTTCTTCATATAGTTTGGAATTACGGTCAACAATTCAAATCTCATTCGAGTCGGTTCGAATGAATCAATAAACAAAACGCGCTCGCGATTCGATCATCAGTATTTTGCGTCAGTCCCTTGTGACTCCAGTCATGTCCTGTTCTGCCAGGAGGAAACACATACTGCTCTTCAACAGCTGATGTGCATCTGGAGCAGCAGAACATTGGTGGTTTTGTGTTGAACCGCTTTTGAGAAGATTCGGACAGCTGCGACGGTAAACGCGAAGAGTTGAAGGTATGTCTCTCTGACTCTTTGTTTTTCTCTCAAAACCTCTCAAGGAGATTGCTGCGTAAAATAATGCGCAATTTACTGCCATATGGGCTGTTATGATTTAGCAAATTCTGAGTATATGTAAATGAATGCTAGGTCAGTGTGTTTGTGTCATCATACCATGTTATGCTACACAAAGTTATTGGTCACACAAAACAGAGTTTGTGGTACATATACAGTAGCTTTGTGGTTTTCACTTCTGTAATACTCACTGAAATACGTTCAGTAATGCATTTATTACAATGTTACTGCCATGTCTTTACCACAGTGACGTCACATGACTCACCGAATCACATGCATTCTGTGTACTTCTGTCACTGCATGAATGCTGAAGGTGTACAGTCATCACTGCTTTTTCCAATTTATTAGCAAATATAGTTTATTCCTAATCATAAGCATCTGTTTCTGTAAAAACAAACTAAATCAATAAAGAATTTAAAAGTCAATTATGGAAATAATTCGATTGGAAAGTAAAAATGAGGTACTTTAATACTCCTTTTGTAATATCTACATATATAAAAGGACCATCTGTGGCTTTGTGTTGGAGAAAATGTGGTAAAATTGGAGATCATATTACCCTCATTTTTTGGGACTGTCCTAAGATTCAAAAATTTTGGAAAAATGTTCAAAAAAAGAAAATAGATATTAGATGCAGAAATACCCCTCGATTCAGTTATGTGCTAACTCCGAGCACTGCCTAATGAAATATTTAATGAAGAAACAAGATTCGTCCTAAGGATATTATTACTGGTTACAAAAAAAAAAAATGATAACAGTACATTGGATGGAAGAAGATCTCCAAAGGTGGCTCAGTGGATTCAGACACTTAAACAGGTTTATATAATGGGAAAAAAATGACTGCATGTCTACAAATGAAGACTGATGTTTTTCTGAAGACGTGGAAAAGTTTCATGACATATTTAGATATGTATATTTAGAGGTTACTTAACCTATTATCACTGTAATTGGATGTAACTACAATGCAACACCATGTAACTTGATGTACAAATGTATCCCCTGTAAGTAATTATGACGGCAATACCTTTTATTTATTTTATATTATTAATATCCTTTAATTGTTTTATTATTATTATTATTTCTTGATATTTTTTTAATTTTATTTTATGTATCCCCTCATGTGTAAGGGGTTTAATTATATATATATATATATATATATATATATATATATATATATATATATATATTGAAAAATCTTAAATAAAAAGATTCAAAAAAGAAACTAAACCAATGATGAATTAGTCTAATAATATCTATTAACTTTCTTTTAACTGCTTTAAAACAGGGCAAGTTTAAATATTACTAATACAATTATGTAAATTATGAGCTTTCATTTTGCAATATATATATATATAAATGTAATATGTTTATTGTTAGTTTGTAATATGATATATAATGTAATATGTTGTAATAATAATGTAATATGTTAATTGTTATTTCTTACAGCCTCTATAATGCCATGTAATGTGTATGTGTGTGTGTGTGTTTGTGTCTGTATTCCATCTAATCCTTTAATATTAAATAGCATTTGTTATTTTCATCAACTAATTCTGTTTCTGAAGCTTAAATTAAAATGATAATATCATGCATTTAAATATGCATATTACTTATATGGAGTAAGTCATTGGCTCATAAAGTGTAAACAGCCACAAGCCTGTATTTTGAAACAACCATGCTGCTTTACAATATAAACATCTGCATTTGTGAAGGATCGCAGTACATCAATCACCCCTTCATAAGTCTAATAATTACATTTGTTATTTAAATATATATATATATATATATATATTTGCTGATTTAAATTACAGTATGACGGAAATAGTGGTTACAGTTGAGGTTTACCTGCGTTAATTAAACGACTGTCCACCTCTAATATCCTTTTCTTCTTAGCAGTGTCCTTCCACACAACATGGCTTCCCGTAAAAAGGTCCTCCTCAAAGTGATCATCCTAGGGGATTCTGGGTAAGTGTTTTGTTCAGCATTCCTGCAGTATCAGTGACGTTTAGATTGTTTTAATCAGTTGCTTCTGCCAATTGCTTATCAGCAGTGACACTTTGTCCTTTTAATGTATATTCAAAGCAGCTGCACATGCATAGACGCTATCAGTGTGACATAACTCACAGAATCTGCTCAGTCACTGCTGATGGACAATCACAGTAACTTTGAACACTACTGGATCACTTATTACTGTTAAAGAGCCTCTACAGTGCTGCTATTTTGAAGGGTACTACAATACGTTCACAAAGAAACTCCGTCATTCATTTTCCTTCGGCTTAGTCCCTTTATTCATCTGAAGTCACCACAGCGGAATGAACCGCCAACTTATCCAGCATATGTTTCAACCTAGTACTCTTGAGACATCCACAAACACTCATTCACACTCATACACTACGGCCAAGTTTCTTTAATTCACCCATAGTGCATGTGTTTGGGCTGTGGGGGAAACCAGAGCACCCGGAGGAAACCCACGCCAACACTGCACATGCAAACTCTACACAGAAATGCCAACTGACCCAGCTGGGACTCAAACCAGCGACCTTCATGCTGTAAGGCGATGGTGCTAACCACTGCGTCGCCACCTTGCCCAGAAGCTCTTTCATTTTATCATAATATTAATCGCAGCATCAACACTTTTATTTATTTATCTAGCGTCTAAAACAGCTGGTTCAAGGATTTGTTTTCTCCAAACTCCGCCTTTCTGGAAGCTTGATCTGCTCTGATTGGTTAGTTGGCCCAGTTTGTTGTGATTGAGTGAAAACCAATATCATATCTGAATATAAGCTCTTCCAGAGCACTTGTAAACACAGAAAGAAATGATTTAAGCTAAGCTAAGCTAAAAGTGCTGCTGCTAGATCCAGAGATCAGATTCAAAAAGAGTAGAAACTCGAACTCAACTGTAACTCTACGGTGACTTTTTATTTAGGCTATTGCTAATAAGCCTTTATTGTTTTAAAGTAGTATGTTTCTTTAATGCAGGGGTCACCAAACTTGCTCCTGGAGGGCCGGTGTCCTGCAGATTTTAGCTCCAACCCTAATCAAACACACCTGAACAAGCTAATCAAGGTCTTACTAGGTATACTTGAAACATCCAGGCAGGTGTGTTGAGGCAAGTTGGAGCTAAACCCTGCAGGGACATCGGCCCTCCAGGACCGAGATTGGTGACCCCTGCTTTAATGACTCATTTCTGACAGTAAGGAATCTTTAGTGGATCAATGACATTTGCATAAGACTGACCTTAAATAAACTGAATCCTAGCAGTTTTAATCGAGCTAGAACTGCACCAGCATTATACACTCCTTTCCTACCTGCCTGAATTGCTGGAATGTTCCACAAATTGAAATATTCAACCCAGGCTCATTCTGAAAACGTAGTCCAGCGGACGTTTCTGGAGACCGCGAAATACGTCCCGGGAGGTACGTATTTGTGCAGTTTTTGTTTTCGCGAATCCGCCTGAGGCTGCTGTGTGTGCTTTTTCGCATCTCGAACGTCTCTCACGAGTGCCGTTCGCACTCGCGCTGTTCTTGCGTCAACCCACCAGAGGCCGCTGTCTGATGATTGACTGCGCGACCGGCCAATCGGCTGACCCACCCTCCTCCTTCCCTGAACCCAACCAGTTTTACAGATTGACCCAACCCAAGCTCATTCTGGAAACGTAGCCCCGCGGACGTTTCTGGAGACCGCGATTTACGTGGCCGGAGGTACGTAAAGGCCGCGTTTGTTTTTTTTCGAGCGAACGCTGCGGGGCGGTGTGGCGCCACTCCGCCCCTCCTCTTCGCGCTCGCTGGCCGACGGCTTGCCTCCGAGTGTAGGGCATTCCCGACGCAATCAGTTTTTCCGCCTAGCTCACAGCGTTGCGTCGGCGGAGCGGAGGCCCCGGACAAGGAGGAGGAGGAGCCGACCGCGGTGGACGACGACTGGGATCGAGTCCGGGGAACAGCAGGTTCCGGAAATCAGGTAAGACGAAAAACGGAATCCGAAAAATAAGGGCGAGAACGCGGCGGGATACGAAAACGCGGTCGAAATCGAAGACGAGGGCTTTTGCTTTTTTTTTTCCCCCCGATCTGGCGGCTTTTCGCGCGAGAACAGCGAAAAAGAGCACACAGCGGCCTCTCGCGGATCCGCGAAAACAAAAAAAATGCTCGAATACGTACCTCCCGGGACGTAAATCGCAGTCCGCAGAAACGTCCGCGGGGCTACGTTTCCACAATGAGCCCGGGTTGGATTGACCCGCCTGCCCGCTCACTTCCCTAAACCCGAGCAACAATTTAGAAAAGCCGTCTAGAAAAAGAAAAGCCCTCGTCTGTTTTTTTTTTTTTTTACCACGTTTTCGGATTTCACCACGTTCTCACCCTGTTATGAACTCGTTCGCTTTATTTTTTGGATTCTGTTTTTGTCTTACCTGGTTTCTGGAACCGCTCTTCCCCCAACTCGAACCCGGACGCCTTTGTCAACTCCTCCTCTCTGTATCTGAAGTCCGCCCACGCACATGATGAGCTGACCATACAAACTGACTACAGCGGGAAAGCCCTCCACACGGAGGTAAGCGGTCAGCCGGCAAGCGCGAAAGGGAACGGCGTCATACCGCCCTGTATCGTTCGCTTAAAAAAATTAAATGCAGCCATACGTACCTCCCGGGACGTATTTCGCGGTCTCCAGAAACGTCCGCTGGACTACGTTTTCAGAATGAGCCTGGGTTGGAAATATTATGGCTTTTACTTGTTTCTTCATCTATGTTATGCAGCTTTGATAACTTCTTTTTATTAGGAGTCCATTAATCTGCACTTTACAGATCATTTACACTGTCACACAGGTCAAATACACACAATATTAAACTTTAATGTCTTAAAAAAAGGAGTATGTTGACCTCAAATGTCATTAAAATATTGTTCACTTAATTTTATTTGTCTTGTTTGTCTTTGGCAGAGTTGGGAAGACCTCTTTGATGAACCAGTATGTGAATAATAAGTTCAGTAATCAGTATAAGGCCACCATTGGTGCAGACTTTCTGACAAAGGAGGTGATGGTGGACGACAGACTGGTGACCATGCAGGTTTGCATTCATGTATATTTAATCAGCCGTTCCGCAGTTTTGGAATTGGCTTTTTGTGGAAGGAGATCAGTAGCTTCATTCAGCAAGGATGAAATTAGTTGTTTAAAAGTGACCATGAATGCATTTATCGGTAACACCAACCCAAAGTTGAGCCTGTTAACATTAGTTAATGGCAAAGTGAGTTAACATGAACAAACAAACAGTATTTAGCTTCAATAACTTTAACTAACATTTACAAAGATGAATAAATACCATAATAAATGCATTAGTAATTGTTTGATCATGTGAATAAATACATTAACATTAATTAATGGACCATTATTTTAGTGTTACGCATTCATTATGTTATAAAACATTACTGTTTCCATTTTTCAATACATTTTATATATTAGACCTGGTTGTTTATCAAGTGAATTATTAGCTTACCCTACAATATTGACTGTTTATGGATAATAATAATTGATAAAAAAGAAATGTATTTTTTTTATATTTAGAATATAACAACAAAATAAACGCGCACATATCTCGAAAAGAAATGTCTGGGTCGTACTTCATCATTTAATACAAAAGTTTACCCTTAGGTCAAATAAATGTGTTAATATTATTTTCATTTAGTTTGTGTAAGCAATGGTTTAAAAATAATAAAATAATTAGTGGTTTCTTTCAATATATATACAGTTATTATTAGATTTTTAAATTTTTAAATATTTCCTAAATTATGTTTAAGAGAGCAAGGATATTTTCACAGTATTTCCTATAATATTTTTTCTTCTGGAGAAAGTCTTATTTGTTTTATTTCGGCTAGAATAAAAGCAGTTTTACATTTTTTATGAACAATTTTAAGGTCAAAATTATTAGCCCCTTTAAGCTATATATTTTTTTTCGACTGTCTACAGAACAATCAGAGACCATCGTTATACAATAACTTGCCTAATCACCATAACCTGCCTAGTTAACTTAATTAACCCAGTTAAGCCTTTAAATGTCACTTTAAACTGTATACAAGTGTCTTGAAAAATATCTAGTCAAATATGATTTACTGTCATCATGGCAAAGATAAAAGAAATCAGTTATAAGAGATGAGTTAAAACTATTATGCTTAGAAATGTGTTAAACAGAAATTGGGAAAAAATAAACAGGGGGCTAATTATTTGGGGGGGGGGGGGTAATATATCTGACTTCAACTGTGTATTATTAGTATTATATACACTGTGTATATTGTATTAGTAGTTTTTTTTAATAAAATGATTCATTAAAAAATTATGTTTGATATATATATATATATATATATATATATATATATATATATATATATATATATATATATATATATATATATTTATTTATAGTTTTGTATGTATGTATGTATGTATGCATGAATATGTGAAAAAAATATTTAAAATTAAAAAAATTTACTTGATTTTTTAGTTAAATACTAAATATTCATTGAGAAATTAAGGTATCAAAAGTTTTTTTTTTCATGTTACTCAGGACATACGAAATCAGCATCAGTAGTTACATGCTTACAACAGTATAATAACTGTGGATCTCTCAAAAGCAAATGTCTGGGTCGAACTTCAAAAAATACAAAAAAAAGGAAATTAAGTTTAACTTCAGGTCAGATAACTGCGATAATATTATTACGTTTGTGTAAGCCGTTGTACTGAAACATACTCATTTATTTTCCTTCAGCTTGATCCCTTTATTCATCAGGGGTCGCCACAATGGAATGAACCGCCAACTAAAAAAATATATATACACACATAGTTGAAGTCACAATTATTAGCCCCACTGTTTATTTTTTTCCCCGATCTCTGTTTAACTGAGAGAAGATTTTTTCAGCACATTTCTAATCATAATAGTTTTATTAACTCATTTCTAATAACTGATTTCTTTTATCTTTGCCATCATGACTGTAAATAATATTTTACTAGATATTTTTCAAGACACCTCTATACAGCTTAAAGTGACATTTAAAGGCTTAACTAGGTTAATTAGGTTAACTAGGCAGGTTAGGGGAATTAGGCAAGTTATTGTATAACGATGGTTTGTTCTGTAGACAGTCGGAAAAAAGTAGCTTAAAGGGGCTAATAATTTTGACCTTAAAATGGTGTTTAAAAAATTAAAAACTGCTTTTATCCTAACCGAAATAAAATAAATAAGACTTTCTCCAGAAGAAAAAATATTATCAGACATACTGTGGAAATCTCCTTGCTCTGTTAAACATCATTTAGGAAATATTTAAAAAAGAAAAAGAAAAAAATTCAAAGGGGGGAAAATAATTCAACTGTACAGTATATTCAACTGGGGCATATAAATTCAACTGTATGTCTAATAATTTTCACTTGTAATAAAAAAAAAAATTAAAGCATCAAAAGGATTTTTTATGCAACATAGGACATACAGAATGAACATTTTGACTATTTTGTCTCATTTAGTGAATTATAATATTTATTTAAAAAAAAAAAGCCAATTTTATCCTTCCATGCTTATAGCAATATAATAACAGTGATTTTACCTATTAAATATACCTTTTTAAATCTGCTGATCAAATACAAGAGGCCAGCCTGTTTGGCAGATGATGTAATTTCCTTAACAACCATTATTTTGTGAACAAAGCCTGACAGCAGTCATGTGATGTGGTTAAAGTTCTGTGTAATAAACTCGCAGCCAATCATTCATTCTCATGCAAATGTTTCTCTCATCCTTCAGTGGTCATGTGAGAAAAAAAGTCACATTTAGTGACGTCTGGTAATCCCCGTGGTATTTTCTCCACATGCACAGTTCATGTTTACTTGTCAGTGAATGTCGTAACCTGTTTGACTGGTCATGTGATGTAGATGCCTAGACAAGCAGCACTTGGGAAATCATTGGCAAAGAAGTGACTCCCCAAATTATTATTTTTAAATGATGAATACTGTGCTGGGCGTCACGGTGGCGCAGTGGATAGCACGATCGCCTCACAGCAAGAAGGTCACTGGTTTGAGCCTCGGCTGGGTCAGTTGGCATTTATGTGTGGAGTTGGCATGTTCTCCCCTTGTTTGCTCCGGGTGCTCGGGTTTCCCCAACAGTCCAAACACATGTGCTATAGGTGAATTGAATAAACTAAGTGGGCCATAGTGTGTGTGAATGTGTATGGGTGTTTCCCAGTACTGGGTTTAAACTGGAAGGGCATCTGCTGTGTAAAACTTATGCTGGATAAGTTGGCGGTTCATTCCACTGTGGCATAAAAAAGGGACTAAGCTGAAAAAAATGAATGAATACGCTGCTGAATTATGAGTTTTTATAGCACATTTTAAACACAACACTAGTGCTCAAATAAGCCACGCCCACTGTTTTCACATTTATTACTTCCTTTTTCTAGGAACTGCGACTCAACATGAAATTTAAAAAATGGTCGCAGCTTCCGGTTCATGCGGAGTTAATGTAACGATGTTGTTTGTGCCTGTAGATTTGGGACACAGCCGGTCAGGAGCGGTTTCAGTCTCTGGGCGTGGCCTTCTACAGAGGGGCGGACTGTTGTGTGCTGGTGTACGATGTCACGGCGCCCACCACGTTTAAGACTCTGGACAGCTGGAGGGACGAGTTTCTCATTCAGGCCAGTACAAGCGACCCGGAGAACTTCCCCTTTGTTGTGCTGGGCAACAAAATCGACCTGGACAACCGACAGGTCAGTAGGAGACGATGAAAACGTCAACATTTCCCCCAAATCCAAAACACATTATTCACTTACAGCTGAAGTCAGAATTATTAGCCCCATCCGCTGCGTAAAAGCGTGCTGGATAAGTTGGCGGTTCATTCCGCTGTGGCGACCCCGGACTAATAAAGGGACTAAGCCGAAAAGAAAATGAATGAATGAATGATATATATGAACTTGTTTCATTCATTCATTTTCTTGTCGGCTTAGTCCCTTAATTAGTCCGGGGTCGCCACAGTGGAATGAACCGCCAACTTATCCAGCAAGTTTTTACGCAGCGGATGCACTTAAAGCCACAACCCATCCCTGGGAAACATCCACACACACAAACTCACACACTACGGACAATTTAGTCTACCCATTTCACCTGTACCGCATGTCTTTGGACTGTGGGGGAAACCGGAGCACCCGGAGGAAACCCACGCGAGCGCAGGGAGAACATGCAAACTCCACACAGAAACGCCAACTGAGCCGAGGTTCGAACCAGCGACCTTCTTGCTGTGAGGCGACATCACTACCTACTGCGCCACTGCCTCGCCATATGAACTTGTTTGCCATATGTAATTTGCATATATGCATTTGCATGTTTTCTCTACAGGATTTCACCCTAACACTTTGCTTTGTATTTTGAGCAGGTATCGACAAAGCGAGCACAAGCGTGGTGTCAGAGTAAGAACAACATCCCCTATTTTGAGACCAGCGCCAAAGAAGCCATTAATGTGGAACAGGCCTTCCAGACCATCGCTCGCAATGCGCTTAAACAGGTAGAAGAACATTCTAGAACTGTTATTGTTGTTGTTGACGAAAGAGAGTAAGTAATACAGTGTTTGAATGACATACAGTTGAAGTCAGAATTCATTATTAGCCCTCCTGTGAAAGTCTTTCAAACATTTCCCAAACGATGTTTAACAGAGCAAGGACATTTTCACAGTATGTCTGATAATATTTTTTCTTCTGGAGAAAGTCTGATTTGTTTTATTTTAGCTAGAATAAAGGCAGTTTTTAACTTTTTAAAAACTATTTTAAGGTCAATATTATTAGCTCCTTTAAGCTATATTTTTATTTGATTGTTTACAGAACAAACCACTGTTATACAATGACTTTCTTAGGCCATGTCTACACTAAAGCCTGATTAATACTTCTGCGTCAAGTGACCGGCGTAACCCACGGCGCATGCAACGCGCGTGGCTGTGCATTTATACTTCTGCGCGCTGTCTCTGTTGGTCTGCATTAACACTTCCGAAACGCTAGTTGGCAGTGAGGTGTAAATCTTCCTCTGTGTCGAGTTTCTTCGCTGCAATTTTGCTTTTCCTGAACACTTCCTGGATGTACAAGTGGCTCAAACTCGCTCATTTTGAAGCAGGAACCGGCGGACGTGCAACAACTTTAACTATGAGGTAAACACAAAACAAAACTTTTCATCCGGAGCTCCTTCATGGGACTCCACACTTGTAAACAATCGCTCGCGCCATTCGCGCGGCTCTCGGTTCCGCCCCGACTCGTCAGCGGTACCAAGCCGACCAATCACAGAGCTTGCGCTACGCGTTGTTGCGATGTGTAGTTACATTTTTTGAGAGGTGCACGTCAGTGCTGTGCGAAGGGCTATGCGTCAGTGCCGTAGCATACGCCGGTGTTTGGCGCAGAAGTATAAATCAGCCTTAATCCGGATAAATTTGAAAACGGGGTTTTCCTCTAAAAGCGCATCACGTCTACACTGTCGTTTCTATTCGTTTTCCAAAACTTTGTCATCCACACTGAAACAACTACAAATGCTTTCAACCTGTACTGCGCATGCGTGAAGCGTAAGACGCTTCGGCAAGCGTCATTTCCGCCTGACGTTTATTTTCTTTCCGGCTCTTTGAAACGTTGCGGCAAAATGTCAAGGAAATGCACAGAGTTTTTTAAATGGACTGATAATGAAGTAGAGTTGCTTCTTCGAGTAACACATGAATACAAAGTTGCAAAAGAGAGTGAAAATGTAGACTGGGAGACGTGCCAAAACAAATACGCCGATAAACTGGACCGCTTTAAAGAACAGTATCCTGCTGATGACGCTGCTTACCCTCGCAGTAAGGACCTCACCAAAATCATGATCACAACGAAATTAAAGTAAACAAATTAGTAACATGACTGTGTCACATGACAAAAAAACGCATCATCGTTTTCGAAAGACTCCGTTTTCACAGTCTACACTACGACACGAAAACAGCGTTTTCAAATTCATCCACTTTGGAGACCGTTTTCAAAAAGATATGTTTTTGTTTCCTAAAAACGCCTCTCAGTGTGAACGGAAAGGCAAAGCGGAGACAAAAATATGCGTTTTTAAATGAAAACGCATAAGTGTGGACATGGCCTTAATTTACCTAGTTAAGCCTTTAAATGTCACTTTAAGCTGAATACTAGCATCTTGAAAAAATCTAGTCATGATGGCAAAGATAAAAGAAATCAGTTATTAGAGATGAGTTATTAAAACTATTATGATTAGAAATGTGTTGAAAACAATCTTCTCTCCGTTCAACAGAAATTAGGGACAAAAATAAACAGGGGGCTAATAATTCTGACTTCAACTTTAGATGAGTAATAAAGGTTATCATCATTAACTAATTTATTCTTTCATAAGATGTTTAGTGACTTTATTGCTTGCGTAAACACTGAAATAAATAAACTTTCAGGAGTCGGTGGACAAATATGATTTCCCGGACGAGATCAAACTAGGAAACGACAGACCCATGTCTAACGGTGAAGGCTGCAGCTGCTGAAGGAAAACAATGAAGCTGTGGAGGGACGAGAAACAGCCAACATGAGAAAGGGAAAGATCCAGGCCAGTCTTTCCTAAAGCCCCCTTTAACTCCTTTGAAAACTGCAGGGTATCAAATGCCACGTGTGACTATTGAACATCTATTTTCTTGCTGAACTCCAAGTTACGTGGAAGAAGTATGGAGGAGCAGGAAGAGCTGTATATCCTCTGACAAGTTCTACTATCACTACAGCTGCCCAAGTATTTGTGTCACTACTCCTGCTGTCAGATTGCGTTTATTTTCTCTGAAAATCCAGCCTGATCTCATAAAGAAACGTAACTATTTTATGTACTGTCAGACAAGTGGCTAATTCTACTAAGATTACTTTAAGGCAAGCAATTTTACTCAGCGGCCATCTTTGAAATGCCTCTTAAGCAGTTCTGTTTGAATGTGGAAACATTAAATTCTCCAAAACTGTTTGCCAAGTGACTAATTTGAACGTATTCATAAAATTTTATTAGTATAAAAATCTAACATTATTAAAGAGTGGCCTGCCCCCAACCCTAACCTTAACCCTACTAAAATTTCTTTAAGGCAAGTCATTTTACATGGCGGCCATCTTTAAAATGCCTCTCAGGCAGTTCTGTTTGAATGTGGAAACATCGAATTCTACAAAACTGTTTGTCAAGTGGCTAATTTGTATGAATTCATATGATTTTGTTAATATTAAAATGTAACATTTTTAAAGAGTGGCCAGCCCCGAACCCTTACTTTAATCCTACTAAGATTCCTTTAAGGCACGTAATTTCACTTGGTGGCCATCTTTGAAATGCATCTCGGGCAGTTTTGTTTGAATGGGGAAACATCAAATTCTTCAAAACAGTTTGCCAAGTGACTAATTTGTATAAATACGTATGATTTTATTAGTATGAAAATGTTACATTTTTGACAAGTGGCCTGCCCACAACCCTAACCTTAACCCTTCTAAAATTCCTTTCAAGGAAACTAACTTCACTCTGCGGCCATCTTTGAAACGCCTCTCAGGCAATTTTGTTTGAATGTGGAAACACCAAATTCTCCAAAACTGTTTGTTAAGTGACTAATTTGTATAAATTCATACGATTTTATTAGTATAAAAATTTTACATTTTTAAAGAGTGGCCTGCCCCCAACCCTAATGCCCCATTCACACGGGGCTTCAGCGTCAACGCTTGACAGAGGGCGTGTCTGAAGTTGAGGCTGACGCAATCATCATAGCAGCGTCAGCCAATGAAATTAGTCATCAATAGGCCACTGTCTGAGCTGGTGTATTTGCATACATCGATCTGATTGGCTGACACTTCCGTGGGCGCTTGAAAAGTTGAGCTAGTCCCAGCTTCTGTAGTGAGCAACGCCTCTGAAGCGGTGCCGACGGATCCACAATGCAGTTTGGCAACGCCTGACATCACCCATTCAAAGTGAATGGGAAAAAAAATTCATCTAAGGCAAGTAATTTTACTCGGCGGCCATCTTTGAAACGCCTCCTGGGCAAGTCTGTTTGAATGAGGAAACTTCAAATTCTCCAAAGCTGTTTGCCGAGGGACTAGTTTGTATGAATTTATTAGTATAAAGAAAGTAACATTATTGAAGAGTGGCCTCCCCCCAACCCTAACCTTAACCGTACTAAAATTCCTTTAAGGCAAGTAATTTCACTCGGCGGCCATCTTTGAAACGCTTGTTGAGCAGTTCTGTTTGACTGGGGAAACATCAAATTCTCCAAAGCTGTTTGCCAAGCTTACGTTCATATTTGGAATCATGAATAAAATTAAACAACTGTCTCAAATAGTGTTCAAAACACACAAAGTCTGCTTGTTTTTATCTAATGCGCACTCAAAGGAAACAAGATCATGACACCAACCTCCTTTAATGTCAGTTTCTGTTTACATCTTAAGCCTGATTTATACTTCTGCGTCAGGTGACCGGCGTAACCCACGGCGCAGGCAACGCGCGTGGCTGTGCATTTATACTTCTGCGCGCTGTCTCTGCCGGTCTGCATTAACACTTCCGAAACGCTAGTTGGCAGTGAGGTGTAAATGTTCCTCTGTGTCAATTTCTTCGCTACTTTTTTGCATTTCCTGAACACTTCCGGGATGTACAAGTGGCTCAAACTCGCTCATTTTGAGGCAGGAACCGGCGGACGTGCAACAACTTTAACTATGAGGTAAACACAAAACAAAACTTTCCATCCGGAGCTCCTTCACGGGACTCCACACTTGTAAACAATCGCTCGCGCGGCGTCGCGCCATTCGCGCGCCTCTCAGTCCCGCCCAGACTCGTCAGCGCTACCAAGCCGACCAATCACAGAGCTTATGCTACGCGTCGTTGCGACGTGTAGTTACATTTTTTGAGAGGTGCACGTCAGTGACGGCGATGGCCACGGCGAAGGGCTATGCGTCAGCGCCGTAGCATACGCCGGTGTTTGACGCAGAAGTATAAATCAGGCTTTACACAATATCATCCTCAAAATAATGTCTTGTCTGATTGTTTTGGTCTTCTGAAGTAATTCCCAGCTTATTATTGATGGCAAATCTCCAAAAATGACAGCGGCCTCCTTGTTTACAAGTTACAAAAATCTCCGTCATTGAGATTTGCAGGACTTATACTGTACATTGCATACAGATTACAAAACCAGAGTACATTTGTTTTCAAGTGTAGTTGGTTTGTTTAAAACACAAGATTTTAAGCTTTATGTAGCTTTAATTTTCTTGTCTGTAAGGCAAGTATTCACTGAGATTCCCATTGTAAAAAACGCAGAGTTCCACACAACTCCTTCATGTTGACTCAACACAAATCGATTGTGTTAACCTATTTTTTTTTTTTTTTACAGATTTAAGTGGATTGAACATAAAACAATTAAATAGTTTCCAGAAAAATCTTAAGGATTGTGAACTAATTTTATATAAGTAATTTAAACAAGAAGCAAGTCATATTTTGAGTGCCAGGGGGATTGGTAACTTTGTAAAGAACACTGGACAGAACTCCTCCCCTGAAGAATTTTCAGCCTGTAGTGATCATTGATTGGCTCCTTTACCTGAAGGCGGGGCTTCATTCGCCAAATGTGAACATACGTTTTTCTCCATTCAAAACTATACAAGTGACAAGAGTATTCCTACTAAACTGTATGAATAAGATCATACAAGTTTATACGAGTTAGCCACTAAATGAAAAAGTTACGAATTGCTGTGAGATTGCGTTGGAAAATGCTAGTTCATTGTGCCTTTATATTTTGTAACTTTTGGTTTTTATTATTGGTGACCAGTTCACTCCTTTGCTAAATGCTTTGTTTTAAAATCAGCTATTATAAATGTAATAGGGCTGGGAAATTAACTAATTATAAATATTTAAAAACAAGAAAAAAAAAGTATAAACGATTTTTTTGTGATCAATTTTAGAGTAAAATGTTTTTTTTTTCCAGAATCATGTCACAATTATGATTTAGAATTATATTGATATTTTGCAAACTTTTAAATGTTTCAGGGAAAAAAATGTAATAAATAAACGCACGTACAGTAATTGTTTATTATTGTGAAAATACAAATCATATTTCTTCTGTGTGCAAATTAGGGAAAACACAAGCCTTGTTTTTTTAAATATATTTTTACCGTATTTTACTTGTTTAAAAATAGGTTTTACATTTTTTTCAATAAGTATAATACGATAAAAATAAGGTTATATTAATTGATGTATTAACCAACATGAACATCACATTTATTGCAGTATTTATTCATCGTTGTTTACGTTAATGAAAATAAAGTGGTTTGTTTATTCATTCCTTTTCTTCACTGCTTAGTCCTTTTATTAATCTGGAGTCACCACAGCGGAATGAACCACCAACTTAGCCAGCATATCAGCAGATGCCCTTCCAGCTGCAACCCATCACTGGGAAACACCCATACACACTCAATCCCACACATACACTACGGCCAATTTAGCTTACCTAATTCACCCACACCTCATGTCTTTAGACTTGTGGGGGAAACCGGAGCGCCTGGAGGAAACCCAACACGTGGAGAACATGCAAACTCCACACAGAAATGCCAACTGACCCAGCCGAGACTCAAAACAGCGACCTTCTTGCTGTGAGGTGACATCGTTACCTACAGCGCAATATTCTTCCACCATTTGAACTACAACTCCCACCAGGCATCAAACACGCACACCTGTTCTGGTTCTCCATTGATTACACACACAGCTTGGAGCTGCTCAAGAACTGATTACTCAGACTTTATAGACTGCTCACTTTGTCACGCACATTGCTGAGTGTTGTTTGGTTTATACCCTGTAACATAACGAAGCAGTTTCCTGGTTTAGCCTCTCTGTGTTGGACCCTTGCCTTGTTCTTTTGTTTACGTTGTCTGCCACCTGCATTCGCCTATGACCTGACTACGCTTCTGGATTCTCTTGTGTGTACCTGTTTGCTCCTGTTTCTAAGCAGCTATGCCTGCCTGCCTGACTGACTGACTACTTAATAAAACTGTGCGTGGATCCTCATCTCCATTGCCAGCATCCTTCAGCCACAACATGCTATTTTGCAGATTTTTGTCTTTGTTAATTGCAGTCTTGGATGTGTCAATGATAAACAACACTATTTATTTTGAGGCAATCATATTTTTTTATGTAGTGTTAGACTTGAAAACACTCGGGCCTATAATAGACAAAAAAAAAGAGGAATGAAGTGAGTATTTTTATTATACTTCAGTATTATTAAAACCATCTAGTCACCATCTAGTAAAAAATGGTAAGAGTTAACATTTTTTAAGTCTCTTCAGCCACAAATATTGCATTGTTTTATAGTTACATGGCACTGCGGATAAAACTGCGCATTGAGGACATTTTTGTCCTGAAAAGATTCTGAAACTTTTTTTATACCAAGTGTAAAATTGTTTTTTTAACGGAAGTGAGGATGAATTAAAGGTGCAGGATGTAAGTTTGACACCCAGTGGTTGAACTAGGTATTGCATTCCTGGATCAAAACACACTCAAGCACAGGTTGCCAGATTGAGGACCAACGTAGCCTGACTATTGAGCCTAAAAGCTCATTTAAATCATGTTCTAAATAAAAGCAACGGCACGCGATAAAAGGAAGATTTACCATAATAAATGGAGTGTTTGTCTTAACCAACATCACGCATTGATATTAGAAACTACATTTTATTTATTATAGCTGAAAAACACTGACAATGATCTCCTCAGGTACACCTCATGTGCTTCATTCAGTGTTAAATGCTAATAACGGGAGTTTGAATGCCATTTTACATCACATTTATAAGCAGCAGCAGAGAGTTCACCTCCGATCTGGAAATTAAAATAAACCCTTTGAAATTGAACTTCAGAACTGAGACTCAGTTCCAACACATATCAGTGATTCAGCATCTACATTTAATAATGTTAAAGAGGTTTAATATGTATTAATTTGAATATAAATTTACTGGAGTGCAGCGAGTGCA